GCCGTGTTACCCGCCATGTCCATGTCCCCATTTTTTAGAAATTGCCGTGTCCGTGTCCGTGTCCATGCTTCATAGACTTTAGTATTGGTATTGTTGAAGAATGATTTACCTTTTTTTTTTTTTGTAATTTTTCTTTTTAATTATGTTATTGAACTTTAATTTGTATGTTGGATGTTTAGCTATAAATTTAAAATTTAAAAAAAAAAAAAATTGGCGTACCCCAGTCGTACCTATACCCTACTTTTTTTAAAAATTTCCGTATCAGCGCACCGCGCACCCGCACCCGCACCCGTGCTTCATTGTCCTAATCTAAAATCCAAGATATCGCTTCTTCTTTGAAAATGCTTGATCTGAATTCTGGATGCTCTTGAAGTCACTGTGACATCAAAGTTGGTGCAAGTATTAGATGACTACTTTTTGCATGCATGTTTATAAGGCCTGCAATTTTATGGCTTTAATTCATGTTGTTGAAGCCCATTCCTTTCCCCAGCCCTCTGAAAATGTAATATAATGATTAAAGTGAACAGAAAGTTTGTGAATTTGAAAAGCCTAGTTGCATTTAGTTTACCTGTGATAATTGGTGATTGAGATAAAAATGAATTGCTTTTACTGGGTTTTGGGCATACCTTTAACTATATTTTCTCAGAACTAGTTTACTTATTGTTATTAAGAATATGGCATTTTGACTTTTCTGTGCTGTTATCAAGTTGAGTGGCCGTTGAATGTGCACCGAGCATATCATCTATCCTTCTGATGAATCCCCTTGCACTCTTTCTTTCTTTAAACATGAAGTGCCTATGAAACTATTCTCTCTCTGTTATTTCCCTCTAATGGAACATATTGCTGTGCAAACACAATTTTTTGTGTTAACCTTACCATTTTTTAGTGAACCAATTCTTACCCATTATACACCTTCAGGTTGCATCTTGGTGGGACTATGGTTATCAAACAACTGCTATGGCTTACCGTACTGTCATTGTTGACAATAATACTTGGAATAACACGCATATTGCTATTGTTGGTACTGCGATGTCGTCTCCTGAAAAGGCAGCTTGGGAGATTTTCAACTCCTTGGATGTGAAATATGTTCTGGTTGTATTTGGAGGTTGGTTTTCTAATGTTGCTAAGATTATCTTACTATGGGGAAACAAAACAATATTCTGAAGTTTGACTTTACAGGTCTTATTGGCTATCCGAGTGATGATATCAATAAGTTCCTGTGGATGGTTCGTATAGGTGGTGGTGTATTCCCTCACATCAAGGAACCTGATTATCTGGTAAGTAGTTATTTTTGTCAGTTTAATTCTGATAGGAATTTGTGGTATTCCAATTGATGATACTATGTTGCCACACCAGGTAATGATCTTTGAATTTGTTTGAGATGTACAAATCAGTAAATAGAAATTCATTGCATATAGTGGAATACTATGTATTATGCTACAAGTCATGCTTACATAACAAATATTTATACAATTGTGCACCAAGCTGGATTAAAATAATTCGTTATTTAAACTATTTGGGGTCAGTCATAAATATATTGGTTCCCCATCCAGCTCTACCTAGGACGATAACTTCAGTCAAACTGCACCTAGTAAAATTTTCTATCTATTTCAATTATTGTTGTGCACCTAAGAACATGTTTTCTAGATGTTATTGAATTTTAGGTTGGTTTTAAGGCTTAAAAAGTGGAGAATTTCGTCTAGTAGGAAATTGCACTATCTAGAGTATTTAGAAATGCTAGTAGAATAGATTAGATAATTCATAAAAATATAGTAATTGTAAGTCAATATTTGTTGTTACAATGGTAATACAAGTAATATGACAACACTAGTGGCTAATATAAGGTATGCTATATCTATTACCTCATTGATTCATGAGTTTACACGTAAAACAAATGACGTATATGACTCTTAATTTTTTGAATTAGTAGATTACCATTTAAAATTCATAGTTTTTATTTTAAATCAATAAGTTAGTAATATAGATTAATGAAATTAGGATTTTCAATTAAAGAATATGACAATGAAGAATTTAAAAAGAGGAAAATAATTTAAAATAAAAGAATAATTTGAGTGTTAATGTTTAAGGAAGAATAAGAGATTTTCAGTTTAGAGTTTTACTTTTAAACATTTTTAATGTCTTAACAGAGGTAAAATTGAATATCGTACCATAACAGTGATGTAATGGCTTGTAATCTGCAGTTGCGTGCAGCTTTGACTTTTTTTGTTATGGAGCTCCAAAATCCCTTTATGTAACAGCTATTACATAATGTAGTGGCCGTTTTTTAAACTCATGGTTGTCAGTCTTGATTGCACAGAGCCAAAGCTTTCTGGTTAATTCTGGTTGATGGCTTCAAGTTTAATATATAATGTCATGAGAACTAATTTGTTTACATTAGAAACACCTTGCATTGTATCCTCTTGTTTAGAGATTGAAAAACTTGGGCAAGTGATTGAATGTTTCCTCTTGGTTAAGTCTAAGCTTTGTTATGTCTTTTCTCTTTTGGTGGTAATAAAAGCTTACTTACCAAAAAAACAAAAAAAGAATGTTACAGATTACTTGACAAAAGCTATGATATGGATAAATTAAAACATAGAAAATGATACATTGTTTATTTTTCAGATTTAAAAATTCAAGTATTGTCATGTTGACAAAAATTCAAAACCTATTGCATATTTTTGCGTGTCATTTGTTATTCTCCAATCATGAAACACTAAGTTCTCTGTTTTGTTTACACATGCATGTCTATTACTTATTATTTTTTTTATACATGATTAGGTTCATGTATGTCTGTGCTTAGTTATATCTTATCTTTTATGGATTTGTTTTATCTTAGCATCTTTTGTTTTAGTATGGCTGAAAAAATATGATATATATATTGTACCTGTATTTGCGCCTACGTCTGCACCTGCACCTGCTGCTGCTCCTACCTTTACAGTTACTGCCATGTGAGTATTTTTCTTCTTTGGTTAACTTGTGAAGACTGAAGAGCATGATTTTTTTTGTCTGTTTATTTAATTTGGACAATACTAGTTACCTTTGTTAATCCAATAATGTGTGTTCAACCAGACCAGAGTCTAATGTCTATGGTCAAGCAGCATCGAATTTGGTTGCTGGAAGTAACCTTGATGGAGTGGTCCGGCAAATTCTTGATATGGGTGGAGGGACTTTGGATAGGGATACTGTTGTTCGAGCTCTTCGTGCTGCTTACAACCCAGAGAGAGCTGTTGAATATTTATATTCTGTCAGCGTCTTTACTTGTATTTGATCTCTTTTGTGAATTTATTTTTCAAATGGGAAATGCAGAAGCATGACGAAAATTTTTGTTTTTGATTTACGTTATTTAGATTTGTGAACAACATTATGTATTGGATAATTTTGTTGATGTATTGTTATGAATGGAAGAATATTTTAATTATGGATGAATTATTATTTTTATACTGGACTTTTTATATTATTATGTAATTATTGATTTTTTTTTAGTTATTTTTCATTTAATACAGGTTATTTTAATATATTTATTTATTTATTTTTTGAGAGGGTAGTCCACTCACCTTCTCAAATAGGGGTTTTTTGCGACGGCAGTAATGCGTCGCAAAAGATAGGGCATTTGGTTGAAAATGAGGACTTTTAGCGACGGTGTAATTTGCTGTCGCCAATAGTGCTTTAGTGACGGCACCAAGTGCTGTCTCAAATAACCCTTTAGCGACGGTACTTGTGCCGTCGCAAATACCCCTTTTAGCGACTGCAAAACAGTGCCGTCTCAAAAAAATTTCAGATTTTCACACGTTAACGGCGACGGCATTTTTCCGTCGCAAAAGGCTTTTTTGCCGTCGCAAACCAAAGGCGACGGCGTCATACCGTCGCTAAAGCCCTTTTGCAACCCCCTCTGTTGCGACCCCCCACTTGCCGTCGCAAAAGGCCACTTACCGTCGCAAAAAACCTTTTGAGACGGCGTTTTGGGTATTTGCGACGGCATTTTACCGTCGCAAAAAATCAATTTTTTTGTAGTGAAAATAATATTATGTATTCAAAATTTTATTTAACAATATTAATGTGTGACTTAGATTCATCAATTTTACAATACGTTAGTCTCAATTACACTCCACTTTTAATGATAACTATCTTGATATTTTTTCGTGATTTGGAGATTTTTCTGTAAATTGTATATAGATTTTGGCAGTAGCACAAAGCTAATGCTAACTTGACGAGGAATTGGCATTTTTGTTGAGATATTTTTGGCAGAAATTTCATTAATTCTTGGGTCAAGAAATTTATTCTGAAAATAAATAAGTGGTAAAAATTTAATTAGTATACCGTATAGAAAGAATCTAAGCTAATGAATCTGTAAGATTGTTGTATTATTTAGGTTGTGTTTGGATTTTACATTCCAGCAAAGCTTGTCATTAAAAGACTTTTCCTTACTTACTTGTGCATGAAAGAGGATGCTATTGTTGTACCTGCAATAAGTTTGAAGTCCAGCAGCATGAAACATTACATACCAATGAAGGATTAAGCTTAAAAAAAAAAAAAATTTGTTTAGTGCTTATGGGTGCTTGTGAGTGCAGATGAAACCCGCAACCCACAATGAAGGATTAATCTAAACTACACCCGATTTTACTCTACACCTAAAATTGTTCATTTGTATGCAGTTTGGTTCGGATCGGGTTGAGCTGTTCTTGCAGGTCGGATAACCCTATACCCAACTCTACTTTCATGATAGGAACTAATCATTTTATAAGCTGTTGCACGTAAATCATGCATATAAAAAAAAAAAAAAGGAAAAAACAAATTTATATGAAATTATGCGAAAACTTGATATTTCCATATTATCACTCAATCTTTTATAATTGTAATCCGTAGAGGTAGTGATAGAATTTTTTAATTACTAATAAATCATCATCAATAAGGCCATCATTTTTTATGTAATTTTTTTTTTAATGTAAATTACAACATTATCTTTTTAAGTCTGAAACAAAACCATTCATAAAATATGCATGAGAGAGAGAGAGAGAGAGATGGGAGGAGGTGAGCTTTGTGCAAGAATAGGAAGTGGGTTATTGACAAGGCTAGGAAATTCATGGATAAAAATGGAGAAAGGTCTAAATGAAGCAGTGTCAAAGAGCAAGGTTGGCAAATACTTCAAGTTGGAGGAGAGGAAGAGCTGTTTCACTAAAGAACTACGTGCCGGCACCGCTACTTTTCTTACCATGGCATACATAATCACCGTCAACGCCACCATCCTTGCTGACTCGGGCGCTACTTGCTCTGTTTCGGACTGCACAGCCACGGCCAACCAGACTGCTACTACTCCAGATCCAGACTGCATGTTCAAACCTAACGCTGGCTACCAGAACTGCCTCTCTAAGGTCAAGGCTGATCTTATTGTGGCCACTGCTTTGTCATCTATGATCGGCTCCTTTGCTATGGGCATTTTCGCTAACCTTCCCCTGGCTCTTGCCCCAGGTATGGGCCCAAACGCTTACCTAGCTTATAATTTAGTGGGCTTTCATGGTTCTGGTGGGTCCATGTCATATCAAACTGCCCTGGCAGTCGTATTGGCTGAAGGCTGTGCCTTTCTTCTCATAGCTGCTTTCGGGCTTCGGGCCAGGCTTGCTCGGCTCATTCCTAAGCCTGTACGGTTGGCTTGCGCAGCTGGCATTGGGCTTTTCATTGCCTTTGTGGGCTTACAAGCCCACCAAGGTATGGGCCTTGTGGGCTCCGATCCGGCCACACTGGTGACCATCTCGGCTTGCACCCGTACGAATCCAGTCACCGGGGAGTGCACAGGGGGAAAAATGCGCAGCCCGAGGTTCTGGCTAGGCTCGGTGGGCTTCCTAATCATGTCTTTTGGGCTAATGAAGGAGATTAAGGGAAGCATGATATATGGTATTCTGTTTGTGACATTAATCTCATGGTTTAGGGGCACAGAAGTGACATGTTTTCCCAACACCCCACTTGGTGACTCAAACTACAACTACTTCAAAAAGGTAGTGGACTTCCACAAAATAAAATCCACTGCAGGGGCTATTAGCTTCAGTCAGTTCAACAGGACTGAGGTTTGGGTGGCCCTGGTGACCTTGCTTTATGTAGATGTGCTAGCCACCACAGGGACATTGTACACCATGGCAGAAGTTGGAGGGTTTGTAAATGATGACGAGCAAGGAGGAGGAGGAGGACGCATTGAAGGGGAGTACTTGGCCTACATGGTGGATGCCGGAACAACGGTGGTGGGGGCTGTGCTCGGAGTTTCGCCAATCTCAACCTACATAGAGTCGTCGGCAGGAATAAGGGAAGGTGGCCGGACAGGACTGACGGCGGTGGTTGTGGGGGCGTATTTCTTTGGATCATTGTTTTTCATACCATTGTTGTCAAGTGTGCCGCCATGGGCGATAGGTCCATCACTGGTCATGGTTGGGGTGATGATGATGAAGGTGGTGAAGGATATAGACTGGAACAATATGAAGGAGGCAGTGCCTGGTTTTGTTACCATGCTTCTCATGCCACTGACTTACTCCATATCCAACGGCATCGTGGGGGGCATTGGGATCTACATTGCTCTAGGGTTGTATGATTACAGTGTGGGTTGGATGAATGGGTTGATGAAGATGAAGAGAGTGGTTGTCCAGGAACAGAATCAAGTGTCAGCAACAACAGCTGGTCCGGAGATGGTTGAAATCATTTGATTGATTAAGCTAGCTGTTTTGTTTGTTTGTTTTTGTTTTGTTTTTGTTTTTGTTTGTTTTGATGAGATGCAATGGCAGTAGATAGATAGATGCACAAGCTACCATGAGAAGTGGAAAGTGACCTTCTCCTTAGTAGTTGTTTTGGCTACAGGCAGGCACGCGGGGGATTGAAAATGAGTTTTAGGAATGTATCACATAGCACTTATTATAGTGTTGCAGCTTTTCAAGGCCGTTTGTGCATGTATGACTGGTGAATGGATGAATTATAAATTTGTTGCTCTATTCTTCTCTTTCTCGCGGAGTCTCATCTTGTGTGTACATTTGATTCTCTTTGTTTTATTCTGTAGTTTATTTTTGTGTTCATTACTAGCATTTTTTTTAAAATACCTCTTCAATTTTTCAATCAACTTGATTTTGAGCTTGTATAAGAATTAAAAAATAAAAATTACTCATTAATCTTGTTTCATGCACTAGTATTCAATTAAGGTCCGTTTGAAAATTTACCATTTTAAATAATTTTTTTGACTTTTTATGCATATTGTTCCTCTTGACTGTACTAAGTGCTTCCCTTTTTAGTAGCTCTCGTAACTACAACGAAAAAAAAAGGGAGCAGATTCGACTCAGCACAAAATAAAAGCATTTTCTCGCCCATAGAAGCAAGGCTTATACAATTAAAAAAAAAGTATAGCGATCCCGGTTTTCCCTCCATTGGTTATTGTATTTCAGACTCGGTTCCGTAGATGTCTATTGTTGTAAATGTTTCATTTTCGTCCTTTAATTCTTTGTATTTGAGTTTTGGGATGTGATGAGCAGGTTTGTAACAGGTTGGGTGTGTTTTGAAACAAATAGTTGCTGCCCAGATTTTGGTGTCTTCACTCGAGCGAGCTCTGTGTTTTAGTTCCATCGCTTGAGTCAGGGTTTGTTCGCTTGAGCGTGCGTCTGCGTCTAGTTTTGAACCTGAAGGTTGTATTTCTTGGCTCGAGCGAGGACTATGTTTTGGGTTTTTTCGCTCGAGCGTGCTTCTAGGTTGCAGACCTGAAGCTTTGTGTTGTTGGCTCGAGCGAGGCTTTCTGCGCTCGAGTGAGGTTTTCTTGTGTCTGGTCGCTTGAGCGACCACTCCTTCGCTCGAGCGAGCCTCGAATATATCAGTTCGCAGCAGCAGTTTTTTCTTTTTCACTTTTTCATCATCTCTTTTACACAAACCCTAGATCGGCTGCTCCCTCTCTCTCTACATATCTTCTCTCTACAAATACTCCATGTTCTAGGAGTCTCCTACCATAATCTCTTTGTAAGAAAGGTGGAGCTTGGTGTGGGATACGTTGTGATCCGAAAATCATTGAGTTTGGAGCATCTTGAGTTTACTCCATCTTCTCCATTTGGTCTTTTCATTTGAGGTAGGGATACCCTACTCCTTCTTATGAGTTTTGACATAGATTTTAGTCATTTTGTATAAATGGTGGATTATGATAATTTTAGGAAAGTTAGAGTTTGTTTTGAAGATTATGTAAAAGGGGGGGTTTTCAAATGTTAAACTCCATGTGTATGTGAGACCTTGCAAAAATAGAATTATTGTTGTTAAATTGATGAAATTTAACCTTAGGGTTGTTATTTGAAAAAGGGGAAAAATGCCCTAATTGTGTTTGAATAATAAATTTGAATAATTAATTTGGGGAAATGTGAAATTGAGTTGAAAATCATGAAATTAAGGAATTATGAGAATGATTGGTATTGTTGGATTGATTAATCACTCACCTATGAGAATGTTGATAATTCATCTATTTGATGAATTTGTGTAGAGATAACAGCTTTGGGCTATCGGTGGAGGATAACCTTGATTGTTGTAGGCACTGTATGTTGATTAGAGAAAATTGAAACTAATCAAATGGTTAAGTCATTGAATATGACGGTTGAATTAACACATTGAATATGTGTCTGGATTGATCATTGTATATGATAGACCGTTTAAATACATTGCATATATATCTTGTTTGGGAGGAGATAGGGGATGTACTCCACGGTTTGGGAGGAAATAGGGGATGTACTCTCAAACCTGTTTAGGAGGAGATAGGGGATGGACTCCATTGATAACTAAGTTGGCCGGAGTGTCCAGGGTGAAAGTCTTAAAATCCTAATTACGTTTGCATAACGTAGATAATTAAATTATTGGAAGTGTTTTGATATGAGTTATAGTCTCATTTAACTATTTGGCTAGATAATAAGCCATGTTTATGAATTTAAATTGGATAAGTAAAGGAAGGTGGAATGAAATATTGGTGTATTTGTCACGGAACTGGGATGTATTGTAAGTTGGTTTACATGTGTTAACCATTTATCGAATGCTAATGTTTTAGTCATTTCTCATACTTGGTTTAGTATATCTCTGCTGGGCTTTGGCTTACCCTTTATGGGTCATCATTTTCAGGTACAGATGGTATGCCACCTCCAAGGACGTAGCTTGGGAGGCTTAGAGGCTGAAGGATCTTTTGTTGTTTTATCTTTTTGTATTACATGTAAATCTAGCCAAGGGCTTATTTTGTAAAAAGGGTTAGAACTCTTCTTTTGTTGAACCCAAGTGTTGACTTGGAAAGTTGTAAGTCCGTAGGGCATTTACTGTTGTTGTCAACATGTAATACTTTTGTACTTTATAGTCTGATATATGGAAATATGCTTTATTCTCTTGTCTATGAATGTCATGAATGTTAGGCTTATATGTATTATTTTGAGGGCGTTACAACTTGGTATCAGAGAGTGTATTGGGTTTGAATACTTTGGGTACGTGGGCAGTGGTTAGTACCACAATGGGTTTGTCTCGCTTGTTAGAGACTTGAGTGTAATGTTATGTGCTTAAGTGATGTAACACCCTCAAAATAATAACATTAAAACCCATCAACTTAGACATGCATTGGTATAAAAGATAAACATTCTTCTATTGATCAGAGTAGTTCCTTACAAAAGGATTACATATTAACAACAAAAGCAAATTCCCTACGGGCTTTCAGCTTTCCAAGTTAACACTTGGTTACAAAAAGAAGAGTGCTAACTCGATACATATTAAGCCCTTGGCTTTAATTTACATGTAATACATCAAAAGAAAGCAAATAACAAAGCAGTCTGTCTGCCTCTAGCCTCCCAAGCTATGTCCTTGGAGGTGGCATGCTACCTGTACCTGAAAATGATGTCCCATATAGGGTGAGCCACAGCCCAGTAGAAATACACAAAACCAACTATGAACAATGACTAAAATGTTAGCAGTTGATAGATGGTCAACACAGATACATCCACTTATATCACATTCCAGTTTCATGACACTTAAGTCCATGTTACATTTCATTTCTCATTTCTTTTTCAACTTTGAGTTTGAAAACAAGGCTCAAGACTTAGCCAAATAACTTGATGAGAATAAGACTCATCTTAAAACACTTACTTTCGAAATTCATGGTGGATACACATTTTGGTGCTGTATCAATAACACATAAGCTACTCCCATATTATACGAACGATACACATTGTGGTGCTGTATCAACGTGACATAGAAACACTTCTATACTTCATAATTGATAACGATATACATTTTAGTGCTATATCAAATCAATTCAAACACTTCCATAATCAACACTTGATACACATTGTAGTGCTGTATCACTGTCACAAGATTCGGTTTAGAGGTTCAG